AAGCGAATGTTTTGTAAGAAGATTTCCTTTGCAGACAGACGGCCAGAGACTGGGACTTGGCTCTGGTTGACACAACTACATATGGCCGAGTACCAGTTGGAGACAGCAGGAACTGCAGTCGGGAGCCGGGATCCGGGAGCCAGGAGCCAGGAACTCCTCGCCCCGCCAAAATCATTGACTGACTTCTGGCATTGCCTGAGCATCCTCCCCGAGAATCCTTCTCAAGTTCGCTTTGCATTCTGATTGCCTGGCTGGGCACTTGTAACAGGAGACTCTGCTCGGACGACATCGATTCGTTTTGGTTCAATTTGATTCGATTCGTTTTGGTTTGTCTGTAAGTCCACCTAAAGCCACTTGACCCATGCACCCCCCTCATACGGAGTACGACTACGGCAATGAGTATCATAATAAAACGTATAATTTTCAGCAATTTAGCAATGCCGGACACACACACACACACACAGGCAAACAGAGGCAAACATAGGTGGAGTCTGAGATACAGATACAGATACAAATACAAGAGACAGAAACGGAAACGGAAGAGTGTTCGTGTTCGTGTTCGATTTTCAAAATAATACTTAATGGCCGTAAAATGATATAGTAAAAGTCAAGTGTCCTTCGGGTTGCTCCTTTTGTGTGTTACGACCAGGAGGGGTTTCTGGGTGCCATAATCATTCTGCGGTTTGATGTGTTTGGACTCGACTCAAAAGATGATTGCAAATAATAATAATAATAATAATAATAATAATACAGTGTACAGTAGTAGGACAGTTGTGGTGTGGCACGAATGACAGGTTGAAATTGATGGAATTTTGTGTGGTAGACTTTCGGGGACACAGTGTCCGTTTTGGCTGCTGTCCTTTCCTCAAAACAAATAAAGCAGGGGTCGAGTGATGTTAAATTCCCAAAAGTGACTACCTGTTTCTTCAATTACTACCAATCCTGCCACTCAGAAGGAATAGTAATAATCTTGATTGCTTTTCTACAACGAGTATATTCAGTCCTTACGGAATGCCAAATGAAGTCTTAATCCTTCTCCTTCAGCAGCTGCAAATGATTGAATATTTCAACTCAATTCACCCCCCCCCCGTCCAAAAGCACCACAACTCAACAACAGTGTTGCCCTCTGTCCATCCATCATTATTTTCACTCGAAACTTGAGGTATTTTCCACACTCGAACCTTATTTTGATATGTCTGCCTGTCCGCCTGTCTGCCTGTCTATGGGGCCTTTGTTTGTCTTAGCCTTTGGTTTTGCTATCTGTATCCGTGTATCTCGTGTCGTGTGTGTGTGTGTTCTCTCTCTTTCGCTCTGTGTAGAATATTCAGCTTGTGGGGCGGCGGGACAGCCAGAAGAAGGCTCTTAAAATGGTCATAAAGCAAATTGTGAAAAATTATTGTGTATATAAAATTTAATGACATGTCAAAAAGGATATCCGGCATACGGCATACGGCATACGGCCCAGCCCAGCGCTCCCACTCTCTTGTTGCTTCAACTGTGTGTCTGTGTCTGTGTCTGTGTCAGTGTCTGCTCTGACGAGCTGGACAAATGGCGAAGGTCCTGTCCTGGCCACCATCATATCCTCGTGGGTGGACAGGACGTGTAATGTGCTGTAAGTCCTGCCACACATGACGCGCTGACAATTTTAGTTTAGTTGTTGGCGTATTTGTACGGAACACCAGTACCAGTGCCAGTACGAGAACGAGTATTTACCCGGACTTCTTTTGGGAACAAGGACATCGACGGGGGACGGGAAGCGGTGGACGGACACCCAACAGAGCGACACACATAATGAAGAGCAACTTTATTATTTTATCCAACCAACAACTACGACGAGCGGGCATTCTTCGCCCTCTCTCTTTGTGTGGGTTATTTTTATGCCCAGCCCAGCCCAGCTCAGAGCCCCGAGTGTCTACGAGTATATCTTTATACATATACTCGTACTCGTACTCGTATATCTGTCTGTTGTGTGGTCTTTATGTCCGTCATCATTATGCTTTTGCCTTGGCCTGGCCTGGCCTGGCTCTGACCCGTCCCCGGCCCCGGCTGTTTGAGTCGTGTGCTTGCCTTTCGCCATTTGCCATGCTCGGAGCTGCACATTTTATAGTTTTCAAAAGTCACAAAAATGTCAATTGCTTGTCTTGGGCCACAAGCCGCCGCCTCCCCCTCCCCCTCCGTCGTGGCTACAAATGGCATTGAATAAATTATATTGTGGTCATAAAGTTGCAGCACTATGTTTACCCCACACACAGAAGACAGACACACAGACCGACATGTCCCTGGCTTATGTCATAATGGGGCTATGCATTGGTATCTCGAAATCTTGTCCTGGTTTCGGACTCATTTTATTTGCATGTGCAGCAAGAGCGTTGGAGTGGGGAAATGTGGGTGTTGGGTGCTGGGGGTAAAGCTAATCAGCGGCAGAAATTGATTTGGCGCCACAATTGGATCAACAAAACATTCCGAACTACCCCCGATAATGAGCCACCCACCCATTAAATGATAAATTATGGCCAAGCATGTGACTGGGGAGTGGGCTGGGTGGGTTGGTTCTTTTTGAAGGGAGAGAAACTTTTTGAATTTTAATCAAGCTTTGAATTTGAATCACTGGCATTGGGTCTTGTGGGTCATGGCACTGGCCATAATTTCGCTTTCATTACTGCGTCTTCTACTCGTCGGGAATGTCCTGTTAATGCCCAGCCAGACCACTGCCGAATAGAACATAAATCTATTTATGTGGTCTCTAGTTGTCTCCCTTCTGGTCCGGTCCTTTGGTGACTGTTTGCGCCCTTGGGTAATTGAAAATATTTCAAATAATTCATAAAAATTTTTATGCGATTTTCCCTCTCAAAAAGTAGTTTAGCTCTCCAACGAGGGTGAGACAGTCCTTGTCTCAAGTTATCAGATCGTATAACTTGGCGTAGATAATTGTTTTAATGATGTCATAATTTTGCCATTTGATGGCGTACTTAACAGAAATGGTTCCAACTGATTTATGTGACCATCCCTCTCGCCGAGGAATTATTGTATGAAGTCAGCTTTACTTTTCGGCTTGTAGATCCTTTCAAAATATAAAGTATTTATGATAAATTGGTTACACAAATTCGAAATGGAATAAAAATCGCATTAAATAGAAGAAATTCGATTGTTTCTAAATATCACATAACCACACAGGAATCGATAAGCGTAAATATATTATTTTTTGCTCTCGTCTGACTGTGTATTCAGCCAAGGCACTGTGTATATTGTTATTGCATTTAAGAACCGTCTCACCTGCCCAAGAGAGACGAAGGATAGCCAAAAATAGAATTGAAGTACCACAAAACAACGAACAAAAACTGGAATGGAATATTTTCCTGATCTTGATATGGTAATATTTAAAGTTTATGGCTGTACCTTTTATCTATTCATATTTCTTTGTAACTTTCAATCACTATTTCCCCAAGTCCCCAAGTGTATCCACTGCTGCTGCTGTTGCTGCTGCCCTAAACAACTCTCCATGATTCGTGCCCAAAAGTGGATGATGCATCAGCGCATGGGGTGAGACAGGGGCCTAGGGGCCTGGGGCCCTACTTGTGCAGATACTGTGGATAGTGTAGGGGCATACTAGTAGCATACGTAACGTAACCAGTTCGCCTCGACTCGCTCTCGACTCGAGTAAACGGGTAAATAACGGCGTTGCATGATTTATGTGGCCAAACAAAGCGCAACAAAACGACTGTTGCCTTGCCGGATCCCCCCCGGGCGATGAGAGCTGTGCCACCGCCACCTGAGTGCCCAAATCGCTGACTGACTGCTCGGGGTACGGCCGCTGTCCCTGCTCCAAGTCCAGTAATACACCAATCCACATATCCACAGCCACATCTGTGGGACGTTGTGTGTGCGGGCGGGCGGGCGGTCGCTAACCACTTGAAAACGTTAAATAAGTTGTCTAACCACACATTAAACCAATTTGGCACTGCGCTGGCCGCCTGTCTGGCACCTTGGATAGCGTTTTCCTTCTCTGGCCAGGACACGGGCCTAACCCAGCCCAAGACCCCAGCGTGGGCACGGCCCACACACACACAAACACAAGTCCGAGTCCCCCTGCTGACTGCCATAAATCATAGGGCGACCCACGTATGTGACTACTTTGGCTAGGGGATCGATAAATTATTATTAGTTGGGGCTGTCCAACCGTCCTCGTTCTCGCCCTCGCCCTCGCCCCCACTCGACACCCTCCCACCATTCGTGACGACCTCTATCGTTTTGGTATCGTTTGGAGGCGCGTGCAAAGGAAGTTGTTAGATCCCAAAAAGGAGCGCTGACCGAAATCCTCCTCGGCGTTGCGGTTCAAATGCCTTTTAACTTAACAACTTTTTTTGCTGCCCTGCCATCTTCCCGGCCAGCGGCTGCCAACACCCCGCACACACACACACACAAATCAATGGGTGACTTTGTCCTGCTGCTGCTAGCCAGGACCCAGGACCCAGGACCCAGGACTAGTGCTAGTGTTCCTGGTCAGGGAAGGGCAAAGGCAAACCCTTAACGTTGTGTGTAAAGTGGACTTGACATGAGATTAACATCTTCAAAAGCATAGCTTAAAGTATTTGTTAGAGCACGTTGAAGTTGCGCCCGAACAAGGTGGCATAGCCAGGACCAGGACCAGGACCAGGACCGGGACCTGTGCTGACCCTTCACCCTTCCTTCATCCGGGACACCGTGCTCGCTGCTGTTGGCGTCGTTTTTGGATAATTGCGTTCTTGTGCGCTGAGCCATGGGCTTAACTGTTGCTGTCATAACTAAGCGAAAAGGTATACAATTTATGGAATCGAGTCCCAGCCCCCAGCTACCACTCCTTGCTGGCGCCCCCGCGACAGGTGCGTGGGCGTGGAGCGTCCTGCGAAACAAAGCAACAAAAGAAAGGGCCAGGACACATGCACGATGTACGATATATACTATAACAATTTTCGTTGGATTTATTTCGTTGATTTCAATCGTTAAACAATAGCAAACAGAAGTCCTTCTTACTTAAAGCCTAATAGTGGGTTGTTCTTGGTGGGGGGGGAGCGGATGGGAAAATGATTCGAGTCGTGAACGAGACACAGGTACATTTCTTACAGGTGCTTACAGGGCACGACGGTGGCGCAGCTTCAGGCGACGCACGGTCTTGTACTGGTAGCCATCATCGCCGAGAACGGCAGAGTCCTGGGCAACTTCCTCAACGGGCGCATCGGCCACAACCTCCTCAGATGGGGGCAGGTATTCGCTGGCGATCTCCGACACATCACGACGCTGACGGTACTTCAGGCGACGCACAGTCTTGTACTGGTATCCATCGGCGGCAAGGACAGCGGAGTCCTGGCTGGCTTCCTCACGGGAGCTTCCTCAGGGGCCCGGAGGGCAGCGGAGCCTGGTGGCTTCGACGGGAGCTTCCCCAGAGGGGCCTCGGTGACAACCTCCTCAGATGGGGGCAGGTATTCGTTGGCGATCTCAGAGACATCACGACGCTGACGGTACTTCAGGCGACGCACAGTCTTGTACTGGTATCCATCGGCGGCAAGGACAGCGGAGTCCTGGCTGGCTTCCTCGACGGGAGCTTCCTCAATGGCGGCCTCGGTGACAACCTCCTCAGATGGGGGCAGGTATTCGTTGGCGATCTCAGAGACATCACGACGCTGGCGGTACTTCAGGCGACGCACAGTCTTGTACTGGTATCCATCGGCGGCAAGGACAGCAGAGTCCTGGCTGGCTTCCTCGACGGGAGCTTCCTCAATGGCGGCCTCTTTGACAACCTCCTCAGATGGGGGCAGGTATTCGTTGGCGATCTCCGACACATCACGACGCTGACGGTACTTCAGGCGACGCACAGTCTTGTACTGGTATCCATCGGCGGCAAGGACAGCGGAGTCCTGGCTGGCTTCCTCGACGGGAGCTTCCTCCAGAGGGGCCTCGGTGACAACCTCCTCAGATGGGGGCAGGTAATCGTTGGCGATCTCAGAGACATCACGACGCTGGCGGTACTTCAGGCGACGCACAGTCTTGTACTGGTATCCATCGGCGGCAAGGACAGCAGAGTCCTGGCTGGCTTCCTCGACGGGAGCTTCCTCCAGAGGGGCCTCGGCGACAACCTCCTCAGATGGGGGCAGGTATTCGTTGGCGATCTCAGAGACATCACGACGCTGGCGGTACTTCAGGCGACGCACAGTCTTGTACTGGTATCCATCGGCGGCAAGGACAGCAGAGTCCTGGCTGGCTTCCTCGACGGGAGCTTCCTCCAGAGGGGCCTCGGCGACAACCTCCTCAGATGGGGGCAGGTATTCGTTGGCGATCTCAGAGACATCACGACGCTGGCGGTACTTCAGGCGACGCACAGTCTTGTACTGGTATCCATCGGCGGCAAGGACAGCGGAGTCCTGGCTGGCTTCCTCGACGGGAGCTTCCTCCAGAGGGGCCTCGGTGACAACCTCCTCAGATGGGGGCAGGTAATCGTTGGCGATCTCAGAGACATCACGACGCTGGCGGTACTTCAGGCGACGCACAGTCTTGTACTGGTATCCATCGGCGGCAAGGACAGCAGAGTCCTGGCTGGCTTCCTCGACGGGAGCTTCCTCCAGAGGGGCCTCGGTGACAACCTCCTCAGATGGGGGCAGGTATTCGCTGGCGATCTCAGAGACATCACGACGCTGACGGTACTTCAGGCGACGCACAGTCTTGTACTGGTATCCATCGGCAGCAAGGACAGCGGAGTCCTGGCTGGCTTCCTCGACGGGAGCTTCCTCAACGGGCGCATCGGCCACAACCTCCTCAGATGGGGGCAGGTATTCGTTGGCGATCTCCGACACATCACGACGCTGACGGTACTTCAGGCGACGCACAGTCTTGTACTGGTATCCATCGGCGGCAAGGACAGCGGAGTCCTGGCTGGCTTCCTCGACGGGAGCTTCCTCCAGAGGGGCCTCGGTGACAACCTCCTCAGATGGGGGCAGGTATTCGTTGGCGATCTCCGACACATCACGACGCTGACGGTACTTCAGGCGACGCACAGTCTTGTACTGGTATCCATCGGCGGCAAGGACAGCGGAGTCCTGGCTGGCTTCCTCGACGGGAGCTTCCTCCAGAGGGGGCCTCGGTGACAACCTCCTCAGATGGGGGCAGGTATTCGCTGGCGATCTCAGAGACATCACGACGCTGACGGTACTTCAGGCGACGCACAGTCTTGTACTGGTATCCATCGGCGGCAAGGACAGCGGAGTCCTGGCTGGCTTCCTCGACGGGAGCTTCCTCCAGAGGGGCCTCGGTGACAACCTCCTCAGATGGGGGCAGGTATTCGTTGGCGATCTCCGACACGTCACGACGCTGGCGGTACTTCAGGCGACGCACAGTCTTGTACTGGTATCCATCGGCGGCAAGGACAGCGGAGTCCTGGCTGGCTTCCTCGACGGGAGCTTCCTCAATGGCGGCCTCGGTGACAACCTCCTCAGATGGGGGCAGGTATTCGTTGGCGATCTCCGACACATCACGACGCTGACGGTACTTCAGGCGACGCACAGTCTTGTACTGGTATCCATCGGCAGCAAGGACAGCGGAGTCCTGGCTGGCTTCCTCGACGGGAGCTTCCTCCACAGGGGCCTCGGTGACAACCTCCTCAGATGGGGGCAGGTATTCGTTGGCGATCTCCGACACGTCACGACGATGACGTAGTTTTAGTCGTCGCACGGTCTTGTAACGGTATCCATCCTCTCCCACGACAGCCGAGTCTTGGGCGATCTCCCCGAGGGGTGCATCGAGGGCAACTTCCTCTGCTGGCGGGACGTAATCGTTGACGACCTCGGAGACGTCGCGACGGTGCCTGGCTTGTTCGACAGGAATCACTGCAGCCGTCGCTGCGGCAATGAAGATGCACGCAATGAAAAGTTTCTGCAATGAGTGAGGAATGGAAATGGATGGGGATAATCCTGGTGGATGGGTGTGCTCCTGTGGCTGGGATATTTACCATGTTGGGTATAGATCTCCAAGCTAATTGTTTTATCGATGGAATCTATGGGTCGAATGATTAATAGTCGCAATTTGTCGGCATATTTATACGCTCTAATGTTTGCCATGCCGCGCGGCGCCTCACAAAACCAAACAATGACCGGCACTTTGTTTGCCAGCAAACAGCAAACAGCAACGGAAACCGAATCGGAATCGGATTCCGAATCCGAATCGAACCGATACCAGCATTATGGTAACAAAAGCAACAATACCCGGCAAAGAGCTTCTGCGTGGCGTGGCGTTGGATTTGCAAGCCCAAGCTTCAACATGCGCCACTCAAGCCCTCAAGTGCCCGTTCCCCACCGTCACAGCCACCGTGTCGTCTTGGACTACGCCTCAGCATCAACTGGGAGCCGGTTCGACCCAAACGTGGATTCCGTCACTTGGAACTTGGGCAGAGGGGGCACCACACGATACGATGATTGCCCAGTGCGGAACTAAATGCTCCATTCCACTCCACTCCATTCCACGTTTCGCTTTCATTTTCGTTTTCATTGTTGTGGTATTACCTTTTGTCGTTCGTTGCTTCGAATGTTTCACGGTCAAGTGCGAGCATCGGTCACTCTTAACAAGATCTAATGCAAAAATAATAATATTCGAACATTTTGAATGGCAGCGGCAAGTATTTTGCGTCGATCCGTACACACACACGCACACACACTCGCGTAGGGCACAATACGTAGTATTTATATGTATTAATAGCTGCGAACATTAATTTCTCAAGTGTGTGGCTATCGGTAATTTGCGTACTACAGCAAAGAAGTTCAACGAACCGCCTCAAGATTAATGGCTAGGAAAAGGTCGTCGTGCGTCGCTCGCTCGTTTGTGGCTCTGGCATGGCTAGCACGTTTCGTTCCTAACTGTTCTACGGTTTTAATTGCTAAACTGACTCCTCTTTTGTTTGTTTTTAACTTTTTAAACTTTATTTGCACAAAATGGTAACACAAATCGATAACAAAACGATCGATCGTGATGGAAGGCAGGCATCGATAAGCAGCATAGAAATATTGTATAGAAGGTGAACAAAGGCTACGGAATTACATAAAAATCTTAGAAATTGGAGCAGGGAAACAGCGATGCCTTTAATGTTTTATGGGCTTTATTTTTTAACAAATATTAAGATTAAAGATCATTTAATGTAGACCGAAAGACAGAGACAGCATGTGACAAAAAGATGTTTATATATTGTTGTTGACTGTTGTTGGTTGGTTCAGCAACACGCACAGCTGTTCACAGCTTTTAAAGTAAAATTGCCAAAAAATATCATTGACATATTTAGATGTCACTATCGATATTTCTCCAACTATAAATCTGCATGGATACGATAGCTGATCGCAGGCACATCTGCAACATCTTTCGATAATCTTATCGAATCAACTAAGCGGCTGGAGCGGCGTCCTTTCATCCGAATCGCTAATTGCCAAATAAAACAACATACCGAGCAGAGTTGGGTGCTGCCTGGGTAATAAAGTATATCCTGTTAACCCTGCCAAGCACCAAAGATATCAAAGATTTTTCCGAAAATATGCTGCAGCAGCAGCAGCATCGTGGGCAAAACAACAACAGCTTACAAGTTGTGCGCATGTTATGCGCTGCTGAAAAACTTTGGCTATGAAATTCATAAACTTGGCAAAACAAGCAGCTTGTTCCTCCAAGCAAAGAGAGGAGCAGGAGCAGCGGAGGGGAAGAAAGTCGCAGTTCGCAGTTAAAACTTTCCACAAATCATGCATATGATGTTCATGGGATGGGGGGGCACCCAGCACCCGCACCCGCACCCGCATGGGCACTTTCACTTTTGGCATAAAGACTAATTAAAGGACAAAATTGGGTAAGTTTTGCTGTCTGCTTCAAGAGTCAACACTCAACTTAAGGTTGCGTGCCCCAATGTGTGTCAAGTGGCAGTAAGTGCAAAACAAAACAAATGGAGTGTGCAATCTGCTGTAAACAACCATAAATTTTGCGAGAGCTCCTTTTGCGCTGCCAGGGGAACAGCACCGAACTATCGCCATCATAAAGAGAGATCACCCACCCATACCCAAGCCCAGGTCCAGGCCGCCACCAAGAACCACCGATGCCCCAAGAACCAGCCGAGAACCAGCACCATCTTTATCGCAATCATTCACATCGCCACTTGTGAAATCATGGCAGGCCACCACCGAGAGATGAGTATGCGTATATTTTTTGGGAGGAAGGAAGGAATGAGGGAAGGAACCGAAGCATGAACATCCTATGACACATTATAATATATATAAACGATGTTTCATGACAATCAATTTGTTACAATTCAATAGACACACTCGGTATGGTCGGTCTCTCGTATGTTGTGTGTTGTGTCCTGTCCTGTTCAGTCCTGTTCAGTTCTGTTCTGTTGTGCTGTGCTGTGCTCTCATTTATGTGATTATTTGATTTGTGTTCTGATGTTGACATTCATACGAGCAGAACAGGCATAAACCTCGACCGTATAATAGAATAGAGTAGAAAACCGTCCAGGACAGTGCGGACGGAATCAGTGCTCCTCGCATAACGAATTTTATGAACTAGAAAGTATCATTAATTTAATACGCATTCGCATACGCAAACAAGCACATTGATACAGCAGGAGAGGAGGGCAGAGTAAGGGAGGGGGTCTATGTATGTTATATGGTTACTGAATTGTGGGATCTGTGGCATGATGCGTCCTGGCCCCGGCCGTTGGTTATGCTCTTGATTATTGTAATGTAAATATGGAAACGGCGCTCTCTGTCCTGTTCTGTTCTGTCCTGTGCTGTGCTGTGGTGCCTCCCTGGCCTGGCCCTGGCCGCGTGCTATCATAAATAAACATTCGACACAAACACAATAAATGTCAAAAAGTTTCGCCATTATCCGCTCGCCAGTTAATGTCCTTGTCGTTGTCATCGTGCTCGTCGTCGTCGTCGTCGTCGTCTTGAAAGCATACAGCGCTTTATTATTTTAATGATTCTGCAAGTAGTGAGAGAGAGGGCCCATCCTGTCAGCACTATGGGGTCTGTCCCCGTCCTGGCCATATACCAGGCCTGTCCCTGCTCCACGTCCTGTGGCATTGTGTTTACATTTGTAATTCAATTCGCGACCAACCGCTTCCCATCCAACGTATCCAACCGAAATGCTCCTCCATCTCCAGCTACAGCTCCACCAGCTACAGCGGCTACAGCTACAGAGGCTCTGACTCTGACTCTGCCTCTGGTCCGCTGGTTATTATTTTACATGTCGTTCGCCTGCTCACTATAATTTATTAGCAATTTGCATAATTTTCTTTCATAAAGCATTGCCACCACTCTCCGGGCTCCGCTCTCCGGTCTCTGGGCTCCGGGCCCCTCTGCTCTTCATTCGCTTTTAATGCTGACATCGCGCCGCGTCCGTCAACTCTTTTGGTCCAGTGTTATGCAAATGTTCCCCACCCCTCCACTCGCCAGCCGCTTTAACGCCGTAATATCCATGAGTTCTGCACAGTTTACGGTTATGCTCGATCGTTATCAATGCTACACTTTGTGGCCCGATTATTGTTGCTTGTTCGTTGTTGTTGCTGTTCGCTCGTTCGCTCATTCACTGTGAATCTCTGAATACATCTAGAAATTTGCATTCACAGCTGCTGCCAATCGACAGATGCAAAAGTTCAAGCGAAGGTCTCTGAGATCGCAGAAGAAGCAGCTGCCTCTAAATGTTGTGATTTGATAAGGTAAAAATATGTCCAGAGATCGAGCAAAGCTCTGCAGAAAGTAACACTGAGGGGCACTGAGGGTTTCCATTGCCAAGGGCAGTGTCCTGCCTCTTATTTAGTTGGTGATCTCAACGGATGGATGCAAAGTCTGCAGCATGAAAGATGTCTTTGCTCTGATATAGTTTGTTCCTTCAGAGCATATGCCTGCAGAGGTATCCACAATAATACCCTACATTCTTCACTTAAATAAACTCCAAATTAAGTGCCAGCCCTCACTATAGCCCATGTATCATTTCCGAAGGTGATTTACCCCTCATTATCCTAATGAAAATCGTTGAATTTTCAGCATCGCATCAGCAACAATAGCAACAATAATAGTAACTCCGAACAAACAAACGAACGAAACGAAAGTATCTTTATTATCTTTTAGCACTTCAGGAATTGTTTTTATTTTTCCTGCACTTTTCTGCTCTTTTTTGCTGTTTTCCTGCTTTTTCTTTTGCTGAACTTTTGGCTGCATAAACAATTAAAAATTAATTTTAAAACTTTTGCGCAAAGATAAACGCAGGAGGACGAGGAGGAGTGAGCAGCGAGGAGTGTAAGGAGCAGCACAACCCAAGGATCCAGAACCAGATCCAGTTAGCTCATTAAACTCCGCCACATGGTCTTGCGGTTGTGTCTGGGGCAACTTTTGGACTACCAGAGTCCCAGAGCTCTGGACTCGGCATCATTATGTAATCTGTGTGGCCTGTGGGGAGGGGGGGTCGGATGGGCAAGCATCTGCTTTGAAGTCAATGAAACTAAGCGAAAACTATTTAAAATACAATTTACTGGAAATCAATCGACAATGGATGGGTTTTGCAATTAGGCAGCCCCAACAAAACAGAGGGGCAGAGAAGCAGAGGGGCAGCCGCATGCTGGATACTTACGAGCACACAAACATACAGGGTGTTCTCACTGTATATATAGACAGAGAGTCAACGTTATTTCATAAACACGCTCAAGTGATTTGGCAAACTTATGCCTGATTGGCCTGGCCTCTAACCCCCAGCCACCGGCTCAAGCCCAATGCTAACCCGAAGGCACCCAACCAACCAAGCCTCAAGTCCCTTTAACCCAAAACGAGAGACCAAAGCCCAAAACTGAGACAGACAGAGAGAGAGAGAGAGAGAGAGATTCTCTGTTTATTTGGCTGTCTGTTTGCCCTGACGGCAAAGGTCTCCGGCTGCCCGGGAGCTCCACTGTTTGACTTGAAGGTATTAGAAACTAATTTGTACAGCAGCCAAAGCAGCCGCAACGACAGTACAGTCGAGTGAAGGAGTGGAGGAGTGCAGGAGGATCAGAAGCGAGCATCTCGGGGCAAAGCTAACCAGGATACAAACAGCAATTGTTTGCCTGCTGTCCATCCATCCTGTCTA